CAGGAATTTCCCCATGGAAAGGGGGTCAGGCACAGGGAGGTGGTGGGGTCCCCATCCCTGGAGGTATCCAGGGATGGCACTCAGTGGTCTGGGCTGGTGACAAGGTGGGAGCTGGTCACAGCTGGACTGAATGGTCTTGGAGATCTCCAGCCTCAGTGATTCTGTGATTCCTTCCCATTTTGCTGGGGAAAGCTGGGCCAGCAACAAAGCTCCCCTGTGCCAGAGCTCACCAAAATGCTGCTTCCCTTCTCTTGGCAGACTTTGACGAGCAGACAGCCGACGACTGGGACGTGGACATGAGCATCTACTATGACAAAGGTACCACAGCTGAGCCACCCGCCCCAGGGAAGTTCTGAGCATGCAGAATCTGGGAGCTCTTTGTCATTCTTTGAAAGCATCCAAGCTGTCAGTGAACCTGAAACAGTGTTTTTCTGGTCTGACAGCAAGGCTTGCCAAAAAGAACAGGTTCTGCCTCCTCTGCTGGAGCTCCGGGGAGCACGGTGGAGGTGCCCAGCCTCGCTGGGCTGTGCTGACTGTGCTTTGTCCCCAGATGGAGGGGATAAGGATGCCCGGGACTCGGTGCAGATGTGGCTGGAGCGGCGGCTCCGGGACGGGCTGGAGGACGGCTCTGTGTCAGGGCAGCCCATTGGCACCTTCGAGAGGTACACCAAGGTGAGCTCTGCCTGCCCAGGCAGGGCTGGGCCACGCTGCTGCCCACGGGCTGTGGGTCCTGGCCGTGGGAAGAGGGCTCTGGGAGGCTGAGGGTGGGATTTGCCCAGCAGGTCTGACGGTTCTTTCCCCTCTCAGGGCTTCGGCAGGAAGGTCCTGGAGCAGCAGGGCTGGACAGAGGGGCTGGGCCTGGGGAGCAGCAACTCTGGGATGGCCGAAGCTCTGGACAACGAGGGTCAGAACCCCCGGTGCAAGAGGGGGCTGGGGTGAGTTCCCAGTGCCCTCCCAGCCCCTGCTCCCACCTCTGCCCAGGCTCACAGCAGCTGAGAGGCTGCAAGGGGAGCTGTGGGGACAGGGCTGTCCCAGCTGTGCCCTTCCCTGCACAGCTGGGGAGTTCCACACCCCACAGCCACACAGGCTGCTCCCCCTGACAGCCAGGGTGCAGCAGGGGCCACGTGCAGCTCCCTGGGGGTGTCCCTGCCCGTGGCAGGGGTGGCACTGGCTGGGTTTAAGGTCCTTTCCAACCCAAACCGTTCCAGGAACTGAGCTGGGAAGCACAAGGATGCCTGGTGGCCTCTGCAACCTCCAGCCAAACCTTTCCTGCTTCCCTCCAGGTACCACGGGGAGAAGCTGCCAACTTTTATCAGGAGGAAGAAGCCCCGTGCTGACACTTCTGTTGTCATCTCCACCATCTACGATGACCCTGAGCCCCAGGACATGGGTGACCAGCTGCTCAGGCGCCAGCCCCCCACGGCCATGAAGTACAGGCAGGACATGGCCTTTGTCCGAGCGTCCCAGCCCGCCCTGGGCAGCCTCAGGGCCCAGCCACGCTGAGCAGGGACTGTCACAGCCTCTGGCCTGTTCCCCAGTCCGGGCTGGCTCCTGGGCTCAGTGCGGAGCACGGTCTTTATATACTTATTTTTAGTAAGAATACAGATTTGTAATAAAAGTCGCTGCGGTGGGGTTTTTTTCCCACTAATTGAACCGTTCAAATGAAAGGAAATGGTTTCCTGTGTGAATGGAGAAGGATTTAGGAGGGCTAACACTTTTATTTGTGCTGGGATCAAGCAAATGTGTGTGTTTAAGAAGCAGAACTCACAGCTGAGGGTGGCTTGAGAGGTGGGGAAAGACAAGTACAGGCAGGGCACAGTAACTGTCCTGCTGCTGCTCCTCGGGCGTGGCTGTCCCACAGTGTCGGGAAGCTGCTCGGGATGAGAGGCTGGTCCTGGC